CCCTTGAAAGTTCAAATTCAGTATTCTTGTTTTTTGACCATGTTTGCAGGTTCTTAACTTTCCCTATTCAGCTCAGGCCTTATTAGTAGGTTTATTGTTGTGTGACAAGGAAATGGAACAAAATGCTAAATATGATACATACTTTCTTTAACCACAGTCTGACTGGACGAAATATTTTCCTTGCATTGTATTTTTATGCACACAATGAGGGTTAGATTTGCAGTTTCTGCTGTTTTTTGAAGGATTGTGCAATAATAAAATGGTCTGTCTCTTCCTCTCCATGGTTTTTGAGAAAAGAGGTAGTGTTTATATGATATCCTGATTATCCTACATGCTATGTGCTTAGAACAAGAAAACCAATATAAAATACCTTGTCATGTGACTGGAAGTAATTCACCTTTACTATTCAGTTATTCTCTTTAGTATTATATTGCTAACTTGAATTGCTAGGAGACTTGAATCTTTGTTCGGCTTTATACTATCAGGTACTAACTTTGGTACTGCTGGATCTACCGGGACTATTATTTTTCTCTACATACACATTGCTTGTCTTGTTCTGGGCAGAGATATATCACCAGGCAAGTAAAGACTCTTGATTATTTTGCATGAAGATATTGGTGATCTTTGATAACTTGAGGCTCTCTTATACTGAATATTTGAGATTTTTAAGTGACAAATATGTTTTCTCTTTCTGATTGATAAAGAGAATCTGAAACTTGACTTTGCCATTTCTGAGCAGGCAAGAAGCTTGCCAACAGATAAGCTCCGGATCGTTTACATTTCAATAAATGCATTGATATACTTTATACAGGTGCTTTTCACCTTATACCTTATTTTTTACCTACTTGTTTGTACTTGTTTGCATTTAAACCCATGTAAAAGTTGGATTCTTTTGGATCTCCTGAAGCAGTTTTCTATCATGTTTGTTCCCCTCCTTTTTAGGCAGATCATTGAGTGCCTAAAGAAACAAGATTCCTTTTTTTTTTTTCTTCACGGAATTGTACATATGTCCTGCCTTACATGGGTCTTTCTCTCCATCTTATAGCACCTCTTTCCACTTTACATTAGATAGGAGCTTATACCCACTCCTTGATTCAAAGTGGTAGAAAACCTTTTGCAAATAGATATTTCTGACACTATATTCTTGTCTTTGCAAAATCTGCATAAGGGTATATGTTTTTCCACGGATTTGTATGTATAAATCTTAAGTTCAACACTCCATATAAATCAAGCCTAAGCTCGCTATCAAAAGTTTTATGTGGTCTACGCAGCTTCTTCTTATATCCCTATCAGTTGTATAAATGTTGTTTAACCTTTATCATTTATTCATGAACTTTTACTAGAATTAGTTGTTGATATTAGGTTTGCATCTGGGTCTACCTCTGGATAGATGACAATAACATTCTGGAATTTGTTGGAAAGATATTTATTGCAGGTAAGCCCTTTATAAATTGATGAGTGTCAGGCCTGCTTTGTGCTGATTACAATTTCTTTATTTTTACTAAACCTTATTTTACTTTGTTCTTTCTTTCAGTGGTGTCATTTCTCGCTGCATTAGGTTTCTTGCTCTATGGTGGAAGGTGAATAGTTGTATCATATTTAAATCTAGTGATATATCTAGCCTCAACTATTTTGGCTCACTATAATTCATATTTCTTCTGTTTCAGATTATTTTTCATGTTGAGACGCTTCCCTATTGAATCCAAAGGGAGAAGGAAGAAGCTCCATGAGGTTCTTTGCTTTTCCTTAGTAATTTCCTAGATTGGATTATAGGACATGATTGCACTCATTGTTCTTGGATATTTTCATTTGATGTAAAACGCGCATACACGTACATGATTTGGATTGTAGACCCCTGTTTTTCTAGGGGAGAAGCTTAGCGAGTCCATTGGTGCAAATGGATATACATAGACTTCATTTAGTAAGTCTATAGAAGTGTTGGATCTGAACTTGAGCTAGAGGACCTCTGTTTACTGTTTGAAGTTTATTTGGATTTGTAATCTTGATACTATCAAACTTGGGGGGTCAAGGGTGTACTTCAGATGTAACCATGCTGCTGATCACTTATGGATGAATATGCTCATATATTTCTTAGAAAACGGGTCAAGGGTGTGCTTCGGATGTAACCATGTTGCTGAGATCGCTTGTGGATGCATATGCACATATATTTATTTGAAAACCACACTTTCCTGATGGTAACAACCATGTGATAGGATGCATGAAAAGAAGTGGGATTAACCTTCCACTTGTGACCATCTAGAATCAAATGTGATATATAATTGAAAGTTCAATCTTGCTATGAACATATGTCTGTGTGGACCATGTTGTATGAATGCTGTGAATTTGTTGTTTTCAATTGTTAAAGCAGTTCTTATTTTTGGCATGTGATTGTACTTGGAAATATAATGTTACAATAATAGGGGCAAATATACTAGAACTTCCTGAGCTTGAGGTATTATTGTTGATGTAAGATGATTTTTGTCACAGGTCGGATCTGTCACAGCCATTTGTTTCACCTGCTTCCTTATAAGATGCTTTGTGGTACGTTACAGACATATTTTGTACTATGTAATGAAGTTAGTGTTCTCGAGCTGACTATAATTTTAATGTACCATTACGAACAAACAATTCCTATGTGGTATCACCTTTGGGGTTATTCATATTGCTTCATCTTCTCCCCCTAAATCATGAATGAGAATGAAGTTAAAAGAGTGAACGTAGTAGACTGACTATAGAGAGTAGAATTTTTGCCTATGGAAAGACCTGCTTAACACAATGTACCTGAGAGACAGAAATGATTGAGGCAGCTAGTGTGAAACTTTGTCTCTTCTTCACAATAGCTAAATTCAATGTTGATTGTTAGTTTGGAATACCACCAATGCAATGGAAGAAAGTAATGTTCCATTGGATTTGGGTTCTTGGATTCAGTCTGTATTCATCCTTTAGGTAGAAAAATGGTTAATGAAATTTGGGAGAAATTCTGGCCGTTCTAGCCATGTTAGTGGGGCAGTATAAATTGGATGTGCTGGATTTACTCGAGTCTTAAAGTGCATTGTAAACTTGTTTTTCACTTGGTTCTCAAATTGCAGGTGGTTTTATCAGCTTTTGGCTCAGGTGCATTGTATGTTGTGGATCATCCCGTCTTGAACTTGGTGTACTACATGGTATAATACAATCCTTATTATTTGAGGACCTTTTCCTCTTCCCCACATTTCTTTATCATGTATTTTTCTAACAATGAGATTCTGTTGAAAAAATGACAGGTAGTTGAGATACTACCTTCAGCACTAGTCCTATTCATTCTACGCAAGTTACCACCTAAGAGAGTATCTGCACAGTATCATCCAATTCGATAACAAAAAGCTTCCTCATATTTTTTTTGTTGCCCAATTGAAATGATTGTGGATGTGAGGGATAATAGATGGTGTTGGAGTTGAGCAAGCGGATCGAATCCTGGAAAGCAAAAACCCAGACTATCTCATTCTAGTTCTGCACTAGTCCTATTCATTGCTCTCGCAAAGATCATTTTGGTTCTGGCATGGCTCATCATCATGCAGGCAATTCTTTACAATTTAGATTTTGCAGTTGTTTGGATT